TTTTTCCCAATAAAACTAAATCCTGGCATCTTATATTTATGATGCTAAGCATTTTGCATATTAATTTTCATTACTTACTTTTGCATTTTTAAAAAATGGGATAGCTCATGTTTACTGAGCATTAGCCTCCAGACCGGGAAAAAGAAGCCACAGATTAAGAGTGGAAGGCTGCAGTTCCTCTAATGGCTGCATGTGGCGGCTTTGAAAAGGAAGTTAATCCTCAAAAACACGCATTTTTAGAATGACCAACTTTACAGCAGAAATAAACACATTTACAGCCAGTTTTGGTCTCTGCAGCTAAACTTTCCATCTTAGCAACTGTACCAGGGATAATGTTTTTTAAAAATAAGTCACCTGTTTAAATGAGACTAAGGCTTAAACTTGATTCGAGGTGTTGCCTCTTATTCACACCTGGATGCTGACACAAGCAGCTGTAGATGCTAGCTGTCCACTATGACTGGCATCAGCTAATCGGAGGCGCTGCCTGGACCTCAAAGTGTGTCCAGTGTGCAAAATTATTAAAAAATAAGTGCATATAAGTGTAACATGTTAATTAAAAGTTCTTTCCAACTGCAGATGGAAAGAAACTGTTTTTGTGAGGTATTGGTCCAGATGGACTGAGCCTTCTGCCAAATGAGTGACACCTAAAGCTGATCCTATGTCCTGCCTGCTGGGTTCTGCAAGCTCACGCTGGTGATTTTAACTGATTTTTCAGCCCAGCAGACACTGCTTATATCTATCTGAAGTGTAAATACTTGTTCGTTTAATGGTTCTTTATAGCAACAAACTCGGGACCTTTAGATTTGGTTTTACTTTTTTCTGACTAGAAAAATGTATAAAAAATTATATAAGAGTAAAGAAATTCAGCTTTATAAACAAGGATTGTTGGTGATTGCAGCAAACCTGAACTTATTTGAAAAAGTCTGTAGACCCATCAGTTTATCAGTGATCTGCCAGCTGTGTGTCAATTAGGTGAAAACCTTTCATTTGTGGCTCCTATAAGAAAGTGTTATTTCTTAAAATGCATCAGAGAGTGAAGAAAAAATAAAAACAGACAGAACAGATTTTAAGCAGCTCCGCTCTCCTGCTCTTCAGCTTCCACTCGTTGCTGTGCAGAGAAACCTGTTTTTTTATGTAGCTCAGAGCTGCGTTACGATTGGCTGTTGCCAAGCTGCAGGGTTGGCACTGAGCAAGTGTGTCTGAGATAAAGAGAGCGAATCGGTGCTTCTTTTCTCTGCTCTGCCTCCCTCTGAGAATAATGAGACCACAGAAATGGATACGTGGATGCCAGACAGTACTAACAAATATCACCTCATTAAAAGGGTCAATTCACCCAAATTACAACAGCTCCAGCCCTTCTCCTGCTTTGGGATTCAGGATCTGTCCTGGTTTTTTTTATCCAGGTTTAAAGATATCCGTCTCCATGACAACAGTAGAGACAGAAGGAATTTATTTTTTGTTGCTCACAAATTTGAAACATGAATGTCTTTTTAAAAGGATTTATAACTTTACAGGGGATAAAAACAGATGATAAAAAGATTACAGAAAGAGCAGTCCATAAAAATGTTCTGAGAGGCGTCTTTAATAAGATTCTTGTGGCAAAAGCTCAGCGTGACCTGATGGTGGCAGTAGCCTATCTCACAGTCTCTGACTCTGTGGATGATTGTGCAGCACCTGGATGGCCGGTCTAAGGCTGAAAGGTTTCAAAATAGTGTTTGAGTGTTTATGTGTTTTAGTCTTGCTAGAGGTGGTCGTCCTCCCTCATGGTGAATGAAAGTGATCATGTTTTATCTCCGCCGCATGCTGTCGGCCATTTTCTCGTCACGTTGCAGCTGCTCGTGTTGGAGGATGTTTGGATCCGAGCCAAAGATTCAGTCTGTCCAACTGGAGGACGGAAAAATATTCAGGAGGAAAATAGAGGAAAATAGAGAT